GAGAGAGAGAGAGAGAGAGAGAGAGAGAGAGAGAGATAAGTAGTAAACGTTATTATAAACGAAACTAAAATAACTGACGAAACCGCAGGCCTTGAGAGTGGAAATTGATGTCAGAAAACATTGAATTTAAACATTAAAAACACTTTTATTAATATTTTTTATATGAATTGCAGGCAAAAGGATATACAGTCAATCTCTATATAGTGAACGTACTACACAAGTATATTCTGTGTACCATATAATATACCATTGCATATTGTACAATGTACATTATAATAATTTTGTACCAATACATGTGCATACAGTGTATCTCAACAATATTAACATTACATTTATTTTTAATATTACAAAAAAAACAATGTTTGTAAAATAATTATTATGATAGTGAATGGCGGAATATACGCAAAATAAATGTACATTTATGAATTTTATATATAGCTAGCAAAAACAAGTTTGTCGATTAACTTTATTGAATATTACAGTATAGTATATGCAGTGTTGTGTTGAGTGAGCGACTATCACAACAAATATCCACTGATAACAAACACTACTGACAACACATACACTGTATATACATATTATATACATATGAGAGGAGGGCATGAATTTTTAGCTACATTTTTCATGGCTCTCATCGAGTAATGGAAAGGGAATTAAAAAATAATATTATATTTTTATGATATTTATTCGCCTACGAGAACACTGCCAGAGACTAACAGCGAGAGTGCATTAGTACTCAGTTTTTACTTAAAAACCAATTTTTATGCTGTATTTATATGTGTTTCATGTGTATGCATTCACTTCGTATGGATTTAATTTTTTAAGTGCAAAAATATATGAATAAATAAATAACTTTTTAGCAAAACATTAATATATAATTTTTTGTATACAAGTTGTGTCTCCGAGAAAAATATCAACGTTTGAAACGCAATGTTGTTTTTGCAATACTCGGTGTGAATACTCCTCAAGTGATGTGTGTTTTTGCAGTGAATTATATGAAAAACACAGTTTTTTCTCTTGTTTTCGACACAAAACACATGAAAATATTGTGAAAATAATAAATAGTAAATATATTTTATGTGTATTAATTTATCCTGGTAAAGTGGCAACGCTAGCAATATAAAACAACACGCCACCAGGGTGTATTTTATAGATTACATTGTAGCTCGTGCTGTTATCAACAATTTTTAATTTTCGACCGAGATTACTCGTCAGTACAGTTATATTACACATACACTTAACGAGTGTTTGCCTCTAAAAACACTAGTAATTGATTTAAATGTAGAAAATATTTGCATTGAATTCATATTCTGTTCGCATATTTACCGATATATTCAACAAATGTATTAAAATTATCAAATATTTTAGTGAAACAAATATAATATAATTTTTTGTAATGATTTTTCACCAGTAATTCACGACTTATTTGTCGGGCAATGAATTGAAAAACTTGTTTTCGTTGTCTCTCTTCTCCACGAATAATACAGTCTTTTAATCGACTTTTTTGTCGCATTTAAAGGTAAAAATTATATCTCATTTTCAATAACATATACTCTGTATATATTGTATATACAAAAAACACATATACTTTTCGTTTCATTGAAATATTACTGATATGCAAACGAAAAATTCATACATAACTTATCACTTGACTATCTATTGGCATAATTATACATAAAATGGAAACCAAACATTAAATTTATAATCAGAAAAAAAGTTTTATGTTTAAAACATGTAAATTTTAATGACATTTTTTCCTGAGTTTATAAACATATCTAACATTGAATTTCATGAATTAATTGCAAATTTTTGAAGCGATTTATTCGTGCGAGAGATGAACGATAAAGAAGTGTCAAAATTATGTGGCATTTGCGGCGACAAAGCTCATGGTAAGTTTGCGACATTTACATCTAGAATCTAGTATGGGTAGCAATAAAAAAAATGCATTGAAACCAGTCATTTTTTCCATTGAAATTTACACTCAAAATTTACACTCATTTTCAGTGTAAATTTTACCCTTACTAGATCTAGATCATGCACTTCGCTATATTGTTGGCTAATTATGTTATAAAAAATTATAAATTTTGTATCGATTTCTTAGGTTATAATTTCAATGCCATTACCTGTGAGTCCTGTAAGGCCTTCTTCAGGAGAAATGCCTTAAGAAAAAAGGTATGAATCCATTGATTGATAATATTTCATATAAAATACAATACAATATGAATAATGTGTATAAAATGCAACAAAAAACCTAAATTTTTTTACTCGTGAAATATTTTACTTCCCTTTCATACACTAATGGATACACTTATGGATACAAACCATTGTTCAAACTCCACAACTGATTCCAGGATTTCAAGTGTCCATTTGACGGCAATTGTCGCATAGATTTAGTCACCAGAAAGTTCTGCAAAAAATGTCGACTCAAAAAGTGTTTGGATTTGGGAATGAAAAAAGTATTACAAAACAAAACAAAAAACTTTCAAAATTATATTAATTATTATTTGTTTTGCCACAACTTCTCTCACGAGGAATGGATTCTGTCGGACGAAGAGAAAGTGAGTCTACGGAACAAAATCGTGGAAAACCGTAAAAAACGGCAAACGGGCCATAAAGTGGCCAAAATGCCGGACTCGACCACAAGTACCTATCAGTTCCCAAACGTTGTGCAACTCATACAGAATAGCTATGAAGTGAACAGCGAGAGGACCTCTTCGTCCAGCGGTGGCGCCGGAGGAGGACTCGACGCCGACTACAAAACAATCGCCGCCGAAGACATGGAAATGCAATCAATTATTAAATTCGGAACCAGTGAACTGATCAGCACATCCACCGCCACTCCCGTACCGATGGTTGTCGAGCACAGGCCTACCTCTCAGTTGAACAAATTGTACGCCGAGTCTACCCCTCAGTCCAGTCGGTCTTCGCTGACACCGCCGCCGAGCGGCAGCCCATCGATGGACATCAATACTGATCCCGCGGTTGATCCCAAAGACAACACGTGTGCCGCCAATGACTACGAGACTCACTATTCAGACGTAAAGCCGCGACACTTTGCCATCGAAATGATCAATAATAGCAATAATATTAACCACAATAACGGCCACACGAATCACTCGCCGGCGGCAGACATTCAATACGCCAACCAGTGCTCAGTGATCACCGACGCGTCCATCGAGACCATCAAAAACAGTTGTATCGAGAGTTTCGGTGGTCTAATGAGCGGCAAAACTAACGGCAATAACAATAACAACAACACCAACACTACCGCAGAGGTCGGCGAAGACAACGGCGACAAAACTGTGGACAATAATCATAGCAAACCGGAGAAGATATCGGACACCGTATACCTAAAGGTGATTGAGTTGGAGTTCGCCGCCATTCCGTTCAAAGAGTTCACTGCGGATCAGATGAACCGATTCGAGTCTTCACGGATCGCTGAGTTGGCCACCGCTGTGGTGGACATCAACCGCAAGAGTTACGGCCAGAACGCGGAGCAACCGCTGCGAATCACACAGGAGTTGACCGATTTCAACGACATGACTAAAGTGTTGGCCGCGAAGTGCGATCAGGCCATACGGCGGCAGGTGATCATGTCTAAGAAGATCCAGGCGTTTAAAGAGTTGTGCCAACACGACCAGATCGGGCTCATGAAGGCCGGCTGCTTCGAGATACTGATTATGCGATCTATTATGACCTACAATCGGGAGCACGACTTTTGGTCACTAGCCATGGTTAGTGACTCTTAGCATGATTATTATCCTATTATCTGATCCAAATGTTGCATAATTATCTATATGCTAAAAGTTACTTTATTTTGGATACTTTAAAAACTCCAAAATATTTTTTGCAATTATTTAGCAGAATATTCCTGAATTTATTCGTTTGTAAAAATAACACAATAGTTGCCAACAATAATAAGTGCAGATATTTTTAATGATAAAAATACTTTGTATAGATTTGTACATGATAAAATTAAGATTATTATGCACATTTTTGTTACCCAAATAATATAATGATAATAATATGTGTTGATTGTGTAAATAGGACCAAGGTACTGCCGCTATGGTTAAACTAGAGGTTTTCAAACAGTCCAAAACCAAAGGCAATCTATACGAAGCGCACAGGAATTTCATGCACGCCTTCGCCCAGGAATGGGAATCAGACGAAACCATTTTGAATTTGGTAATTATTATCTAATCTAATCGACACTATTATAAATTATACAATTGTTAAATAAGCACGTATTACAAAATAACCATTATTTAATTGCTAATTAAACCATGTGCATTTTATTATTATTGCTTTAAATAGTTGACGGCTATAATACTGTTCACACCCGAGCGACCAAACATTTTACATAGAGAGCTCATTAAGTAATTTAATTATATTATATAACAGCTATTTATATGACGATAAAATTAATTATCTATATTATTTAATTGTTAACTATCATGTGTGCGATTATAGGCTGGAACAGCAAACCTACATGTATTTACTTCAACGCTATTTATTGAACAAATATAAGGCTAAATGTGTGGCGAAACTGAAATTCTTGCGACTAATGAGTAAATTAGAGGAATTGCATACTTTGAATGAAAAACACGTTAAGATATACCTGGAGGTCGACCCCCAAGATGTCGGGCCACTACTTCTTGAGATACTAGACCTCAACCCATATCATACGATGCAGATTCTGTAATATTGCATTACCAATATAGCATCATGGTGATTTCCGTATGAGATGAATTAATTCACAAATTTTAATTAGTAGTTTGTTTGGAAATTTTTACATTAATAGCGTTAATCCGGTTATAAATATATAGATAATTGTATAAATGAATTATAATTTGCTCACAAAAAACTATGTTATAATCGTTATAGAAATTGTTGATTTTGTTTTCTTTGCTCATTCATTGGATATTTTAAAATTTTTAGTCAAACACAAAACGCCAAAAACAAAAGTAATCCTATTTTTAATGTATGAAAGAATTTTTAAAACTCATTATATTTGTATAAAAATATTACTTTTAATTAATTTTAAATTTATAAAACACAAATTTATTTGACACACAAATTGTTGTACAAAAACATATCACTCATCGATAATATAAGTAATTAAATAAATATTTGTTACAAAGTATTACATCGATGTTTATATTATTGAATCGCTAGTCAATCAAAAAGCAAAAATATAAGCAAACTTTTTTTGTGTGTTTACACTAAAAAGTTACTAAAATATATTTTTTACTTTTTTCACTGTATATTTTAGTAAATTATTTTAATGTACTCTTATATAACATACAGCATATAGTGTACTATATTTGTTATAAAGTGTTGTTTGAAAGCTATTATAAACACATATGAGATGTCTTTTTAGTTTTGTAGCACTCATTAGGAAACAGTCATAAAAGTTTTTTTTAAAAGATTTTTTATATAACTCTTCATAAGAGACAGTCGAGAGAGAGAGAGAGAGAGAGAGGCTGGAGACGTGAGCGCAACATAAAAAAGTTTATCTAAAAAATAGTTTGAGAGCCAAAACTATGTGTCCCATCACTTACTCCCTCCTCAGTATCCAAATGCCTAAATACTCACTCGTTTTGTGCATATCTTCGCTTAAATTAAGCACTTTTTTCATGTGAAGTACAACTGAAATGCATGTGTGCTATAAATAGGGTAAGTTTTTTTTTGGTGAACAGAATCTTGGTTTTCTCCTTTCACATCTCTCTCTCTCTCTCTCTCTCTCTCTCTCTCTCTCAAGGGATTTGACAGTTAGTTATAAATCATTTTGCGAGAGAGACTCTCGTATCCGACTTTAGTAACACATTTAAGGCTTAATTTGCTTACTCCTGGCGTTTGTATTTCGGATATCAAGAAAAATACTGTATTTCGCGAGTGAAACAAGTCGTCGACACAACAACTCATAAATGCATACATAGTTTTGTGTATGTCTTTCATCAGCGGTACAAACAGTGCACAAGAGATACATAAGTGAACTGATCCGCAGTCACAGAAAAGTGCAAAAGTCTTTACAAAATAATAATTTTATGCAAAATGTCCTCAAAAGTAATGCCAGTATTTTATTTTTGTTGCTGTTTTGACGTATGATTTCATGAATAAAATTAATTAATTCTTACATTGAATGAAATCCCTGTCCGTGTGTTAGACAACAAAGATATACATCGGGAATATGCCTGAAGACTGCAAATTGGATCAGTTGTGTCAACTCTTTGGTAAATATGGTCGCGTAGAGGAGTGCGATATTGTCAAGAATTATGGGTTTGTGGTAATGTGCTGTTTAAAAATATTTATTGCTATACTTTTATCGCATGTGATAAGCATGTGATCGCATATAAATTAAATTGTAAAAAATACAAATATTATCTCAATATTGAGTTATGAATACAATATGTGTTTACAAACCAATTGACAGCACATGTCGTCAGACGAGGAGACGAAGAAAGCTATTGAAGAGTTAAACGGATTTGAATTTATGGGCAAAAAGCTATCGGTAGAAGTGAGCCGAAGCAAAGTGAGGACAAAACCAGGTATTCATTGCTGTTAATCAAAACTATTGGCTATTTTAACATTAATGAATATTTTTATCTCAATCCATAAACTATTAATCAAGTAATAATAGTCAATAAGCTTAATAAATAAACCATGCATAATTTTAAAAATATTATATACAACATATAAGTCTATCAAATAATTTTCAAACATTTATAAAAACCAATTATAAACTGGAAAGGAATGGGAGGCAAAAGCCAGTGCTATCGGTGCGGCAAAAGTGGCCACTGGTCTAAAGAGTGTCCGCGAAATTTCGGTGAACGCGCGCGCAATACTCACCGACACGTCGGTCGGCAACACCACTACCCCTACGACACTAACCGGCCTTTTCATGACACGTGTCCGCCACGGCCTCCGGGACCGCCACCGCCGGCGGCACCCCTACCCCATCGCGACCATTACGACCGGTTAGACCACTATATGCGGGACTATATGGACGCGTACGAGCGTAGGCCGCCATTCACTGACCATCATATATATGAGGGCAGAGCACCGGAACCGCTGCCGCCACCGCCACCCGAGTACTATCGACGGCCGCCGCCTGTTATGTCTGAACCTTATTATGACGAGTATTACGACCGTAGGCTTCGGGACAGGTATTGAAACTCTAGTCGGAAATATGTTATGTAATAATTAGTATTTAGTCTATAATTATAGCGATACGCGTAGTGTTAGTCAATTTGATGCTTGTATTTGATTAGCATTTTTTTGTCGCGAGTTTAGCAAACCTGAAAAAATTGTTGTGAAATACGTGTGTCTTATAAATTAGTGTCGGTTTATTGACTCTACTTATGTCTCTCTCCCTCCAGTACTCCCCATCTCTCTCTCTCTCTCTCTCTCTCTCTCTC